TCTTTCAGCCTTCTGATGAAGTAATAGACCACTTTCTTTATATACATATGGCCTATACTATAGGCCATGAATTAATCACCTTTTTCTTTCTCTGCACATTCCATTCATGTTGGAGGTTGCATGGATGCATCTGTTTGTCCATGTAAATTATAGTTATTTGTGCAGCCTGGGTGTTCATGTTGCCTCGACTTTATGCAAAGCTTCTCTTCTTAATTTTGGAGTATTTTTGGTTGATGCAGGAATGTATTAATAGAATCGCCTCCCTGGAAAGTATGGGTATGTGTTCCTTTTGGTTGTTTTGAATATTTCATCTATCCACCTCAACCAGCTGTCTTGTATAAGTTATGTTCTTATATGTTTATTTTAGGTTTAACTCCAACTATCTCAAATTTCAGGAGCCCATTGAGCATGTTGTTAGTCCTTCATTATGTTATGGTTATGGAATTGGAAAGATTTAACCAAGTTCACATCTCAAGTAATAGGCTTATAATGTTGTATTTGTTGTTTTGCCAACATATTTTCATTTGCATCAGGTCGACTTTCTGGTGTCATGGATGATAGGGGAAAATACATATACATCTCACAAGAGGAGATGAAAGCTGTTGCGGACTATATTAAGCGTCAGGGTAGAGTTAGCATCTCTCATCTAGCCAGCAAGTCCAACCAGTTCATTGATTTAGAGCCAAAAGCACTGTTTGTGGAGGAAATCAGCAGTGTGGAAGAGATTACCCCTGCTTGACTCACCATGTCCATCCATGTCAATCCATAGAGAAATCTCAAGGTCCATTACAAGACAGAAAGATTAAAAGCTCAAGAGTTTCATATACAGATTTACCTATCTACCATAAAACAGCGATACCGTGGAGCTCATAGTTGCATGCAGAAAAATACAGTAAATACAACCTTCTGAGGAATATTGAGATGGAATGGGTATAGGGATCTCTTTTCTTTATCCTGTTGGAATTGCAGAGTAGATCTAAGAAACATTGCTTAAAGAGACTGATGTTTTTAGTACTGTAAATGTCTTCTTTCGACTAGTACAACAACCCCTGCTTGGGTTTTTACGTTTTACAGGACGTAAGCCGCACCAGAATGTTTCTCAGCGATTTTCAAGTTAGTTATTATTATTATTTTGAATTAATTATCTCAGGTTCTTTCCTTTCTGCCTCATCATCGTAAATTCATGGTCCTTGCATAGAGAAGATGATGCCGAAGCCCTAGCTCCTGCAAATGAATGGAAATAATATTTCCTTTATTGCATCTAGCCAGGATAGAAGGCCCCATACCAGAATCGAAATAACCTTATTAATCAACTTAATTGGCTTGAAAATTATTGTTACTTTAACCAAGTTTCATCATCTAAACCTTTACATTTCTTACATAACATTTTTAATAATTAAGAGTTTAAATTTTTATATTAAAGGCTGAATTCAAATTTAGAATAAAGAAGAATAAATTTAGGAAAAAGAGAGTTATTTTTTTATTTTATAATTTATCATCTATTATAACAAAAAAATTAATAAAATCATTCACTCAAAATTTTAGGTTTAAAAAATCACTAATTTCTACTTTCACAGTCTTAAGTTCTAACTAGAAGTAACTTGCAAATCCCTAACGACCATATTATGTTCCACATGTCATATTCGACTGCCGTACTTCCATTCACCTTAAAAAAAAAAAGAAAAAAAAAAAAGGAAAGTGTTTGGGAGCAAAACGACACCGTTGGGGGCAACATCAGTCTAAAAACAGAAGTCATCTCCCTCCCATCCCCTGTCCGAAGCAGCCGCAAATACTTGAGGAAGCGGATTTAAAACTTGACTCAATCTCCCATCTTCTCCTCGTCTCTTCTCCTCTCTTTCTTCTTTGAGCTTTTTCTCTCTCTCTCAGAAGACCTTCATTGCCGCGTTATCGAGTGCGGCGGCATAACTTTCTCCATCCCAAAACAGAAGGAAAAAAAAAATAAAATACAATCCCTTTAGACCATGAAGATATATTGTATCATAGTACTACACCTAACTTTGTTCCTTATTTCTTCATACCTCCACCTTTGTTCCGGCCAAGACTATGACGATAACACCCCGGCGGCTCCACCGCCAGGGCAGGACAACTGCAACGGGATATTCTTAAGCTACGCCTTTACATCTCGGACTAAAGAATACCCCCACTTCAAAAACATGAGTGCGCAAGCATGGGCGTTCAGCTCCATTGCCACCATTGTCAATTTAGGTACAGAAGAGTTAAAGGGATGGAAGATGTACGTGGGTTTCCAACACAGGGAGGTTCTAGTGTCGGCGACAAATGCGGTGCTCGTTGACGGGTATGATTTTCCAGCACCGGTTGGGAATGGAACCACCTTGACGGGGTACCCCACGACGGATTTGAAGACGTCCATTGATACGGCTGGGGATTGGAACCAGATTTCCGTGCAGGTGCAGTTGACCGGAACCATGTTCGGGATGAAGGAGAAGGATATTCCGATGCCGAAGACGATTAGTCTTGTAAATGATGGTTATATCTGCCCTAAACCAACCAAATATCGTAAGTTTTCTCTCTCTCTCTCTCTCTCTCTCTCTCTCTCTCTCTCTCTCTCTCTCTTTTTACCCTTTTTTCTGAGGTTTAAATTTGTTGTATAGTACATAAAGATTGCTTAAATTCGATTTAAAACATTTTAATTGTTGCAATTAGGGTCATTAGTTGATTTGGTTCCATTTCAAAAAATAAAAAAACTTACTTGACACTCTTTTTGTTCATTTCTAATAGCTTTAATTTTATTTTTTAATTTTTTAAGTATAAATTTTAGGTGAAAATTTTTAATTATCATTAATTTAATATATTAGATTTTCATTTAAATTTTATGTCTAAAAAATTAAAAAGTTAAAAAAAAAAGACTACTAAAAATAAATGAAGAAAATACTAATTTTGACAAAAGTAAAAAAAACTAAATAAGTTCATTTTTAATTTACTTGAACTCACCACAAATTAATATGTAATTATTTTTTATAATGCGTTAAATTGTTATTAATTTATTACATGGTTGATCTGAATCCCACAATTAGATTTGGAATGAATACCATAAATTATAAAATTAATAAATCATTAAGTTTCAAATTTAGAACCAATGTAAAACAAGATTTATATTCTTTGCTTTTGGTTTAATTGCTAATAAAGTTTTACAGAGACATACATGTCTGTATGTTGCAAAAGGAACCCCAAATTCAAACCAAAACCAATTCGTGGTAAGTACTTGCGGCGTCAGTATGGCGATCTGAATCTTGTCTACGACGTCCTCACCTCCTATGAAGGCAGTTACCTTGCACAAGTCACCATGGACAACCATAACCCCCTAGGGCGCCTTGACCACTGGAACCTCACTTGGGAATGGATGAGAGGAGAATTCATCTACTCTATGCGAGGAGCTTACACCCTCAAGACTGTTTACACCGGTTGCATCTATGGTAATGCTGCAAAGTTTCTTAAAGGCTTTGATTTCTCTCAGGTTTGAACTCTTAACTTTAATACACTTAGAATTAGGTATTTTGTATGATATTGTTACCAAAATGTTGAAAACAAAATTGTAAACCAATCTTATTAGATATGGAACTAGTTTTGCAATCATATATAATTTAATCTAGATCCTAAAAGGTTTTTTTTAATTTTTATTTTTTAAACACACGTTAAAAGTATTTTTTTATTATAAGTATATATAAAAAATTATAAAAATTGATATTAATTTTAATATTAATATTAAATATGTAAATTTAATTATATAAATAATAAATTAAATTTTTATTTTTATTTTTATTTTTTTAATACAAATTTATAATAAAAAAATATATTTAATGTACTTTTAATAAGCAAACCCATCCTACAATTGCTATGATATTAAAAACTAAGGACCATTCGGTTTTACCAAATTAATAAGTTAAAAATTTTTTAAATTAAACATTTTTTTTTCCAGGTGATGAACTGTGAGAAAAAACCGGTGATCACCGACCTGCCGGCGACTAGAGCGAACGACAGTGATGTGGGTAAGCTACCGTACTGCTGCAGAAACGGAACTCTGTTACCGGCATTGATGGATGAGAGCCAATCCAAGAGTATTTTCCAGTTGAGAGTGTACAAGCTTCCGCCGGACACAGCCCAGACGGTTCTGTACCCGCCCCAGAGATGGAACATTACGGGGGTTCTGAATCCGCACTATGCCTGTGGCGCTCCGATGAGGGTTGATCCGACTGAGTTTCCGGACACGAGTGGACTTCAGGCGACAAAGAGTGCCATCGCCAGCTGGCAGGTTGTTTGCAATATTACCCGGCCGACGAAGGAGCAGAGACCAAGATGCTGCGTCTCCTTCTCTGCGTACTACAACGCATCCGTTCTCCCGTGCAACACCTGCGCCTGCGGCTGCAACAACATTGACACTGACAAATGCAACCCGGACGGTAAAGCCCTGCTACTTCCGGCGGAGGCTGCTTTAGTCCCCTTCGAAAACAGAACCGCCAAAGCCAAAGCCTGGGCCAGTCTCAAGCACCACCCTCTCCCCAAACGCCTCCCCTGCCCTGACAACTGCGGCGTCAGCATAAATTGGCACGTTGATACCGACTACCGAACCGGGTGGACGGCCCGGATCACTCTTTTTAATTGGGGAGATAACCCATTTGAAAATTGGTTCACCGCCGTAACGTTGGACAAGGCCTTTCCCGGCTTCGAAAATGTATACTCCTTCAACGGAACGAAATTGCAAAGCGTCAAGAACACTCTGTTTTTCCAGGGGCTTAAGGGTCTGAACTACTTGGTCGGAATGACAAACGAGACTAAGCAATCTGACACCAGAATTCCCGGAAAGCAGCAGTCAGTCATCTCCTTTTCTAAGAAACAAACGCACGGGATAAAAATTAACCACGGAGACGGGTTTCCGACCAAAGTGTTCTTCAATGGAGAAGAGTGTGCCCTTCCTACTGAAATCCCTCGGAGTTCAGGGGACCGCTCCGGCAAGAATTTGTTAACAGTCATCTTGGTGATGCTGCTGACATTCTTGATGATGATGGACCGCTTCCATTAACGGCTGCTGGAGGACTTAATTAATTTCCTCATAGAAATTTTGGGTTGTACAGAGAATTAGCTTTGATTAAGTATTAAAAAAAAATCCCCTGTTTCTTCATATAGTGTAGTTAGCATTCATCTGGTCAAAGATTAGTTGTTCATACCAGAATTAGGG